GATCTCATCAACGTGTACAAGTATCTGAAGGGGGAGTGTCAAGAGGATGAGGCCAGCCTCTCCTCAGTGGTGCCCAGCAACAGGACAAGAGGCAATGGGCAGAAACTGAACCACAGGAAGTTCCATCTGAACCTGAGAAAAAACTTCTTCACTGTGAGGGTGACAGAGCATTGGAACAGGTTGCCCAGAGAGGTGGTGGAGTCTCCTTCGCTGGAGATATTCAAAAACCGTCTGGATGTGATCCTGGGCAATATGCTCTAGGTGACCCTGGTTGAGCAGGGAGGTTGGACTAGATGATCTCCAGAGGTCCCTTCCAACCTAAACGATTCTGTGATTCTGTGAATTTACACCCTACCGACTGTATAACTCTTCTGTTCACAAACTGCTTCCTGATAAACTGGAGGTGTCACTGCTACAAAAATATTTACTCTCCTTCCTGCCTCTGCTCAGTACTTCTTTAGCCAGATGCTCCCACCACATAGATACACACACACTCCTTCATACTTCTAGCATCACTTGTAGGAAAGTATATTAAAAAACCACTTGGTTTTTTTTTTTTTTTTTTTTAAAAGGTGTAAACCTACCTTCTCCCCCGCCCTTATAATGTTTTAGTCCAACTGAAAGGGGGGGGGGGGAAATAAAGCTTTTTTTCCCCCCCTTTTTTAATTTAGAGACTGTTGAGGGGGAATTAAGGGAATCTCAAGTGCATTCATCTCCTTCAAATGCAGATGAAAATTAAGTAATTAGGTCCAAGTTACTTACACCTTTGATTACAGAGGAAGGTATCTATATTATTTTTTTGTTTAGCTGAAAAGTGTAGTGTTAAAAAGGATCTTCCAATTTTCCTCCACTTAGCATGTTCTGGTTTGCATTGCAGGGTAGGGTCAGACTGAACTGTGCTCTTCCTGGATGAGATTAAAAATGAATGTGCTTAGGAGTGCATCTAATGCAATGTGGCTTCCAATAAATCAAGTCCAAAGGAAACTGTCCTAAAATGCACATACATGACATTGACTCCTTGGCACCTGCTGTTTCACTATACAGATCTGCTCCTATTGCACCATTCATCCTACCTGACTTAATCATCCATTTTAGGATGGGATGGGATGAAATATCCTCCATTTCCACATATTTTGGAAGGAACCTGATTCATTAGCTCAGATTTAGGCAATGAGTTTTCAGATGTCCAGAGTCAAGGGAGACTAATTCACCAGTCCCAAAGTCTTGATAAGAAGAAACACAGATTTATGGAAATACATCAGATGTGGAGGATGTATGTAGTGTATTTCAGTTTGCTTCACAGTCTAAGAATAAAAGAAAAGAAACAAAGAAAACTGCACACCATTAAATTCTATCCCAAGCCCATTAACCCCAAGAAACTCAGTTTATAGTGTTCTTGAAGAGATCTACAGAAGTCCAACAAGCTTCATTGGTTCCTTCTGTCAGGGCCCTGAGCGCACCAGCAGGCTTGGCAACCTCTTTATGAGGCCTGACACAGCATTAAGAGCCAGGGTTGAGACTGCTACTTGGCTGGTCCTTTCCCTTCCAGGGCACAGGCAAGTACTTCTGGCTTCCATTGCCTAGGACAACTGCTAGTGGATGATATCCATGGCATCCATTCACTGACCTGCTACTGTTTTCTGCACACTTGTAGGCAGGAGTGTGGAAATAACCACTGCCTGCCTAGCACTGCAGTCCAACTCAAGAAGGATCAGGAAACATCAACCTCACTAAAAGACATTTTTACTCTTTCTCCTGGGACTCCCACTTGTGGCTCAGCTTGTGGAGTGAAACAAGGCTACCTCGTGCTTGGGTTTCTGGGCAGATCCTCTTCCCCTGAAGGCAGATCACATGTCAAATTGCTGCCCTCGCTGCTGTATGTGAAGATGGCCAAGTGAAAAATCAGAGCGTAATAGCTGGCACAGAATAAGCACCAGCCTTGCTGGGTTATGTCCTGCCACATCTTTGGCAAAAGAGCTATTCCTTGCAGCCTTGATAGGGATACACTATGATGGCAAGTGCTCCCACTTCTCACCAGGATCCTTACCAAGTCCAGCCAGCACTAGCTAGCCTTGACTTATGTCAGCCAAGCAAGCCTAGGTAAATTAAGTTTGCATTTGGTGACTTGCTGGACACATCTACATATTCCTCAGGCTCCCTGGGAGCAGTTGAAGCAGCTGAAGCCTTTACTAGGTATAATGCAAGATCCTCCCTGGTACTTAGTTCAGGACAAACCAGAGAAGGAGGAGGAGTCTATCCAGGAGCAAATACCACCTCTTTCTAGACTAACTTTCATCGTATTTGAAGAGCTTTTGCATTATTTTTTGCTTTTCTTTCCATTAGTGAAAAGCAGGCAGGAACAAATTGTCCAGTCAGCAAGAACCGACAAAAGCTTGTTAACTGTACACGTCATGAAAACAGGGATGCCTTTATTCTTTAAAGGGATTGAATGAATAGGCTTGTACCAGTGTGAACAGCAGTAGCAGTTGTAGCTGGACCTACAGAATGCCTTTCAGCTGGCCTAAACACAAAGCTCTTGTCATGTAGGAGGTTAAATCTATTGCCACCACAAGTGACACTGCTTTTTCTCCCAGAGAAAGAGGTGCACCTTGGGGACTAGCCACCCTTCCAGGGGGCATCACCTTTACAAGTCCTTCTGGGTTTCATGACAGAATTATCCTAATGATCCCAAAACCTTCTTAGTGAACTTGTAGTCACCTTACTCATTTTTCTTAACAAGCCATGAGGGACTAATTAGCAGACACTAACAAGAAAGAAACTTTCTTCTTTGTTAATGGCAACAAACACTTCTAAAGCTGGTTTGTCACAGCTAGTCCAGGCCCTGAAGTCAGGGACCAGAGTTGAAGGGTCAGTATGTTAAGACACAAATAACTTAAGGGACTATTTTTTAAGGAGCCTCAGACTCACTCTCCCATACCTCTCCAGTCCACCACTCTTATCACAGAAGCTGCTGCTCTGCTGGTACAAGAGTCTGAAGGAAAACAAAGCTATGTGTCTCTTACCATCAGCTGGTCAAGCATCTGACAGCAAGGCACACCACACCAGCAACAGGGCAGCCCCAGAGGACCCAAAGAAGAAGAGCAGAGCAGGTCCAGCAACAGTAACCAGAGTCAGCCAGGAAATCAGACCTGGATCCAGATCAGGAGCACACCCAACCAGGCACAACTGCAACCCAGCTCACATGAGGACCAGAGCAGGCAGCTGAGCTTAAATGCAGCTCTCAAGCAAAGCGAGGGAGGGGACTCCCACCAAGTTTTTTCACAGGTCTTTTCCTAGCAGCCCGATCCAAGGTCACACAGCTGCACCATATCAGAGCTGGCCTTGACCACAGTCAAAGCCCTGATAGGGAGAAGAGGTTGGAGAACCAGTTGGTATACTTAGGGCCCTGGCAGGTACCTGCTATGCCTCCCTCAACCTATGTGAGGATGCTGGTGAGCCTATCTACCCCTGCTGGAATGGGAAGGACCGTTTTTTCTAGAAGCTGTCTGGAAAGCCCTCTGTCAGCATTCAGGGCAGGGCAGCACCTGAGCATGGGGTGATGCCTCAGCCGTCACTGCAGAGGGATGTGTGGGAGATATGATTGCACACTGATGTCTTTTGATGTGTTGCAAGTGGCACATCATAGTCAAAAAGCAA